TGAACAACCCCAACTCTCTCAGCTTGTCTACATAGCAGAGGTGTTCCATCCCTCTAATCATCTTTATGGCCCTCCTTTGGACCTGTTCCAACAAGTCCAAGGTCTGGTGCTGTGGATCCCAGAGCTGGATGCAGAACTCCTGGTGGGATATTACAAGAGCAGAGTAAAAGGACAGAATCACCTCCCTTGACCTGCTGGCCACACTGCTTTTGATGCAGCCCAGGATTCAGCTGGCTTTCTGGGCCAGAGTCCCATGTTGCCAGCTCATATCCAATTTTTCATCCACCTGCACCCCCAAGTACTTCTCCACAGGGCTTCTTTCAGTTCCTTCATCCCCCAGTCTGTACAGATGCTGGTGATTGCCCTGACCCAGGTGCAGGACCTTGCACTTGGCCTAGTTGAATTTCACAAGGTTTGCACAGTCCCACCTGTCAAACCTGTCAAGGTCCCTCTGGATGACATCCCTTCCCTTCCGCGTGTCAGTGGCGACACTCAGCTCAGTGTCATCCCCAAGCTTGCTGAGAGTGCACTCAATCTCACTGCCTATGCCATTAATAAAGATCTTGAACAAGGTAGGCTTAGATGAGATATGAGGAAGAAATTCTTCCTTGTGAGGGTTGTGAGGCATTGGAACAGGTTGCCCAGAGAAATTGTGGATGCCCCATCCCTGGAAGTGTTCAGGGCAAGGATGGGTGGGGTTGCTGGAACAAGATGGTCTTTAAGGTCCCTTCCAACCCAAACCACTCCATGATTTTATAACTAAATTGTATATAATTCTTGATGATTGGTGACCTTAAAATCCTTATTGCCTGAGCCTTGTGATGCTGCTGCAGGTCCCTGCACAGAGTAAAAGATTCTGCGGCTTCTGATGCTCAGCCAAGCTGCGGACCGCAGCTTGTGGCCACATTCTGGGAGCAGGTCACATAAAGGGTGGTAGACAAAGGACAAAAGTCGGCTGCTACTTTGTGTAGGGGTGGTTTAATGTTCCACATCAAGCAGCTTCAGTGGCTCTTGCACATGACCACTCTTCTCTCAGACCACACTTCCTACAGAAAGTTACCATTAAAAATGATATTCTTCATCTGTCTCTCAGTCGTGGTCAGGTAACAGACGCAGGCTTTTATTGTGGTAGAGTGACCCACACAAGTAGCTGCAGAAGAGCAAAGTGAGAATCCTCACAAGACTTTCTCTTCCTGGAAACACTCCAGGCACACAGAAAGGGGAAGCCTTAAGTATCTCATCTGTTTTTTGTGTTAAAACATTGCAGACAATCTTTCTCTATGGACTGATGGGGGAGGAGCTGGAGGACTGGGAGAAAAGAAAAACTGTAAATAGCAGAGCTAGAAGCTGTTCTTAGGAGAGGCAGTAAAAAGGAGAGGAGGAAATGAGCTTGAGATCTTCTTTTTTGTTTGTTTTTTATTGTATAAAGTTGAGGGACCAGCCACGTTCAACCCTGGTATTTTCCCTGGTGAGTTCTGAAAAACTGTATCATTGATGTGTAGGTCTTCCTCTTTTTACAGAAGTCATTTCAGGAGCAGCATCACTAGGGGGAGAAGAAAATCTTTAGCTCGGTCCTTTATTCTCAGGATAGACATTGTAGAATCCTTGATCTGGTTTCCTACCATAATTCATCTTTCTTATGGAAAAAATATCCCCAGCTTCTCCTCTTGTTGTCCCTGGGCAGAAAAAAGTCAGTGTTGTCTCAACGTTCTCTGACTTCAAACTATGCGGCCCCAGAGCATGCTAGAGCTTGGATATTTAAGTGAGTGGCAAGGCAGGAAGGTGTAGTCTTGACAATTATATTGAGAGCACGTCCAAATTTTAGAAGCATGTGAGAAAGGCAAGAAGAGTACTTTATATTAGGTAGAGGGAGCTATGTTAGGAACTCTTTTGAATATACTGTGGTCATAAAGGACTGTTTGAGCAGCCATTAAGCTGTTCCTGGGGTTTTAAATTAATACTTCCTATAGGACAGATGTTTCATGCATGTTATGTGCAGAGAGCCGATGATATACACAAGCTGTGTAAATTTAAGCTATGAATGAAATGCTGTGTATGCACACAAATGCTAGTTTAGGAATGTTTTCCTTGGTTCTCCCTTTCTTAGCATGTATCAGGATTGCTGCTGGGAGGTGGGCATGTTGTTTGGCTGGGGTTTGTGTTGTGCTTTGTTTCCTCTCATTGTTTTCTTCAGTGAGGAAAGGAGATTGGGTAAAACTCTTTTCTGGTCTCTGTTGACATCAGCACATTCGATCTGCCTGCGTCCAAAAGAATTATGTCAAAGCAATTGCCTGCATTTGTTCCTTAGCGTGTTCTCCAGCAGCACTGTCGCTCGAGGGTCAGACTGGAATACATTAAACTGGAATTGGGGCAGAAACTGCAGCCAGCCTCAGGTCAATGATGCCTCTTGAGATTTGTGAAAGTGACACTTCTGGGGTTCATTGCATTAAATTCCATAGCATTTCTGTGTCTAGTCTAGGTGAATCACAAAGGCAGATGGGATGGTTAGTTTCACATTCCCCTATTTAATTCTGTGTCTGTGTGTCTAGAATAAAAGGAAAAGCCTTGCATCTGATCTATTTTGCAATATTTCAAAAAAAGATTTTTTTTTTAAAATGCATGTATTAAAGCTCTTTACTTCTATGTAGTTTTTAATGTTTATAGTTAGGAAGATTATCACAGTTACTTCATCTGTAAAATTCTATTTCTGGAGTCTGGCCTATGTGATCCTTGGTACATCTTTTGACAGAAGCCTTTACAACGTTTAAAAACACAGTTGCATGTGTGCTTAACAGGACATCCTCATGCTGTAGGATGTAGCTGGGGTTGTGCCAGAGGGAGAGAGGGGAAAAATGTATCCAGGAGGACAAGAAGTATAACGATGCACAAATGCACAATTCAAACTGTACTTTTGCAGGCTCTGATTCATGTTTTATTAGTAGCTCTGAAACCTTGTCCTCGATCAGCTTTCCCTAAACTTCTGCTCTGTTAGGGACTAAGAAGTTGCCAGTCAGAGTTTTGAGCTGACTGTTGACAGGAACTGTTGGTAGGAATGCTGGATATGGCAGAGCTGAAGCAGTGGGGTGTGTGTGCATGCATGTACACATACACGTACATACACACCACACTTGCACAGGCCTTTTTCCTCCCTAAAATTTTTGCAATCTTTCTTGTTGTGATTCACTCTGCAGAAGCTTTGTACTATGTGTTTACTGAAGACAGGATCTTTCTTTTATGTTTGTGACATATGACCAAGATTTTACTATGCTGTGCATGCTGTGTTTTAGCAGGCATCACTTACTGAGCATAACCAAAAGTTTGAAAAACACATTTTTTCCACCTGTTTAACATAAAAATAACTGTAGAACCATAATTAAATTTAATTAGATGTTTGTATGAAATAACGCCTTCTAAATCTCTGGAGTGGCATATGTGAACTAGTCCCGAGTTCAAGTAATTGAGATTATTTTATCTGTTTTATTTGCAGAATTTACACTGCAGCATTCAGTCATAAATGGGTTCATTCCAGAAGCTTAAAATGAGATGATGCCAGCAACTGGCACAAATCAAACACTTCCAGCCTTCCCACTCCTGCACATTGATAGGATTAATACTTTCTGGCCAAAGGCCCAGGTTAAGACAGACAGCATGCACAAAAGCTTGTGCTGCCTCCTTAAAAAACACCAAATTTAAATATTGGCAGGCTGTGAGATGAAGCAAATTCAGTCACCAGGGCCCCACAGCTGAACACATGGTCCTCAGGAACCCAAATGCCCAACCCCAGCCTTGGGACAGATAGCTAAAAGCTTTCTTGGCAGAACCCAGTTCCCTCAGCATGCAGAAAGGGAAGGAGGAGACAGGTAGATGCTCTGAGTGACCTGAGAGGTTCCTGCAGGAGTAGTGTTCATATCCATTCGTTCTGCACAAAGGATTTCCATGAAGAAGGTAGCTAGTCCACTAGTTCATGCTAAAAGGGTGAATTCGGGAGAGGAAATACCAGTGAGGGATGGAGGACTCTTTTCCACAGCATAATTCTCTGAAGTCACCTTCTGTGGCAGGGTGCTGCTGGGATGAGATCCCAGCCAGATCCCTGGGACAAGGTCCCAGTGGCACGCAGCAGATGAGGTGAATTGCTGAAACAAGGAGTCACCTGTGCTTTCTCAGTGGCAGAGTCGTAACAACACCCATCTGTTTCCTAAAAGTGGTTTCCGTGGCATCTCAGTGTGAGGAGCTTTGTACAGTGAGGTTTTATACACAGCCAGGTCCTGGGAATTGAGGCTTCCTGCAGAAGGTGGATGGTTGGGCATCATCTGTACTTAAATGGCACCTCATCCCCAAAAGCCTGGGGTTTCTCCAGAGGTGTTTTGTAAGCTGTGAGCAGGAAGGCTGCCAGGATTAATACCCTGAGAGGAGAAGGACTGTTTCTTGGTGGCAGCACAGAGCACAGTGTGGTGCAGTGGCCACTCAGCTCACCTGCAGGAGCTCCTGCTTTGTAGCAATTAACTCAAGCCGTGTGGGCACACGTCCTTCTTGAATCAAGAGCGGTTGCTTTCTCAACTTTGCAGAGGTGGGCAGTACCTCATAAACTGTGGTGCCAAGGGTTAATTACTGGTTAATTTGCTATAACACACCATTGCTGAACAAGCAGAACAAACTTGCCTGTTCACAGCCTGGATTGGAATAATTTCCAGTCCTGATGTAATTTCTGCCTTTGCTAGATCAGAGCCTGCTGTTATCAAATTTATTCAGTATAAGAATACTGCTATACCATGAACAAAATAACAAAATTCCCTCTAAAATTTTTGTTTATAGCAAAGCCTTCTGTAGCCCAGTGTTTCCAGTTATTTAATTTCTCCTCCCTGAACACTCTGCCAGTTTTTCCAACAGTAAAATGGAGCAGCAGAACCTGATACGTTATTCACGGAGCAGAGGAACAAGAACCAAACACAGCGTCACCGTAACCTACCTACTCATCTTTTGATTTTCATTTGTTTGTACAGCTGAGGCTCGCATTATCCCTTTTGGCCACAGCCTTGCGAGGGGAATTCATGTCGAGCTGATTGCTTCCCAGGACCCCGGGTCTCACATTCAGTCTGTGCTTTGGAGGATAGAGTCCTCTCTCTCCCTCTCATCCTGTAAGTATGGCCTGGATTCTTCATTCTCATAAGGGGATTTTGTACTTGGCCATATTAACACCTAAACTGGTTTCTGCCATTTTTCTATAGACCCCAGTTGCTCTCTGTCAGGCTTGTTCTTTTGTGGTTTGTTTTCTACCATTCCTAGTCTCATGACTAACCACAATGACTTAACTTTAATCCAGGTCGCTGGTAAGGCTATTAAATAGTAAAGGGCTGATCACCAGTGCCTGTGGAATCCAACAGGAACCCATTTGTTTGCTAATAAATAGTTCCAAATTTACAGTTCCACTTTGGTTTCCTTAATTTAGCAGCTTTTTAATGTTTCTGATGACTGTGGACTCAAAAGTGACTTCAGTATAAAATAGGTTCAAGGTTTTAGCCTGATCTTATATGGTGCTCTCCACCAATGGAGTCCTGTTCTCCCTGTACAGATGGAGACATTCCATGTAGGCTTCAAAGCATTCATAAAGATATTCTACAGAACTAGTCAAATGACTTAGGTTTGTAATACTGTTAATGATGCTGCCTTTATAAGTGTACTTGTAATTTTTGCAAGCAATTGCATCAAATTAGTTTGACAGGATCTATTTTCCTTAAAGCCAAGTTAATTGACTTTAATTACAGAGCTTTGAAAAAAGTTATTAATTGAGACCAATGCTGGTTGTTCTATGCTCTGCAAAATACTGGAGACTCATCCAAGTGGCCTGTAATTACTTTCTACCCTTCTCAAATAGTAGCCCAGTATGAGCCTTCTGCCTGTCCTTGGTCCTTCCCCAAAGGCCAAGAACTGCTTTAGATGCAGTAGCAGCTCCAAGGCTGCCTCTGTAAACCTTCTGAGACAAGTTTATTTCTAGCAACTAATCTGAATCACCCAGAATCGTTTATCTACTGCTTAACATCCCCTCTCCAGGGGCTGCTGTGGTGGGAAGCTATTTCATTATCATCATCATAAACAGATCATCCAGCCTTTTACCTGTGTGCTAATCGGAAACATTTACTGAATAACTTCTGCTGCTGTCACATTGTAATGAACGTTTGTACATTTTTTATTGTTCAGGATTCATCTTTCATTATCTGCTTTAAAAAATTTAAAATGTATTTCTGATTTTATGTGCTGCCTTTTTTTTCTAGTATCTTCTTGATTCCTGTATATAATCTTTATTTTAGCTTTTTTTGCTACTTATTATCTCTTCCTCTTTCCCCTTTCATGTGCTAGTTTTCTATATAACATTTTACATGTTTTTTCACTTCCCTGATAAACCCAGCTGTTGGGTTTCTTTTGTTGTGTGTTATTTTTATCTAGCCCATCTCCATGGTTGTAACAGTGTAGGCATTTAGGAAATGTCTTAAACTGCTTGCAGATGTCAGCAACTTTCTGTATGTTCTGCCTTCAGCCTGATTTGACTCCCATTTGCTCTAGTTTTGTGAAATTGCTTCTCAGAAAGCATGCCACTAGATTTTCATTTATGTATCTATAAAGAGCGTACGCTCACATATTGCATAAAGCTCTGGTCTGGATTTGATTGCAGACAATGTTAACTATTTGCACAGGAAGTGTTGGTCCTTTTCAGTCTAAACAACCAGTGACTTCTGGTTTGTGCCCATTTCCTCTCTACTGACAAAGTCAGAGCAGGGATGCTCTGGCTCCCATGCTAACCCACAGGTGACTCACAGGCAGTTCAGCTGTGACCACCGTGGGGTTGAGCTCGTGTGTGGTGGAGCTCAGCTCTTCACCTTGTGGTGATGGTGCTGTGAGCTGCTCCTGTCCCCTTTGGTGCTGTGAGGCCAGTGTTGCAGATGACTCATTGGCAAGAGCTTAATTTCACAAGGTTAGGAAGGCCAGTCCTTTTTTGAATTTAGGGGTTAGTGACTTGTCATTTGTAGCCCTTTGGAAAGGACAGGCCTGTGTTAGTGCTAGTGACATAAGGTCTCCACAGTAACTCAAGAAGGGATTCTGTACTTCTTGTTTGTAAGTGTTGAAGAAGCTCATCATCCCTGTAACTTTCCAAGATTATTTATTTCCTAGTTGTCAGTCACTCAGATGTCATTTGTGACACATATGGCCTGGCACCACCCTCTTCCATTTGGATTTTTTTAATTGGCTACAGCTGTTTCTGTTAATAATATAATAGTCTAAATATAGCTATTATTTTTCAAGAGTATTATTTTGCATAGGCAGAGGGTTTATCCATTTTTTTCAGAATCCTGTAATCAGCATATAAGCAACTGGAAAGGGTCATCTTCTCACAGCCTTTGATTTGGTTGATGTTCTCCTCGATATCCGGTTTGTGTAAATGTGCTTGTGGTTGCTTATTTGACCTGACCCTCCCAGCCAGCCTGGCTTAGAGTGTCAATTTGTTCCCTATCAAGAGGTCCTTTTCCCTTTACAACACAATCCACAAATCTGACATGTGTCCCCTATGCTGTGGGGACAGCACACTTGTTAATTTCAGTGGCCTTCAGCTTTTTGTCTCTTTGTGCTAAGAAACAGGGAAGAACTCCAGACAAGATCTCCAGATCTCCTGAATTGTCAGGAGTTGTGTATTTCACAAGGTGTATCGCAGAGCAGTGATTTTCAGTGAAACTCTCCCTGTCTGCTCCAGATTACCACCCAGTTTTGCCTTTTTGTTTTAAATACATACAAATAGAGAAACCTCTGTGGACTCTTCCACACACACTGAGGGTGTAGAATACACCTTTGGTCAGTTGGGTTCAGCTTTCCTAGCTCTGTCCCTTCCCAAACCTCCCCCTGCCTACTTGCTGCAGTGGCAGAGTGAGAAACAAAGAGGGTCTTGATGCTTTGTGGGCAGTGCTCAGCAATAACTTAAACATGGCTGAGTTATCAACGTTGTTCTGCTCACAAGGCTGAAGCACACACAGCAGGGTTTGGGATGCTGTGGAGAAACTGAACCCCATCCAGATACAGTGAACTTACCTAAGATGTCATCCAGTAGTCAGCTGCTGTCATACACTGAAACCATGGTGGCAACAGCTGCGTTTGAGAGAACAGGTCTCACTAGAGAGCTTTTCTGGGGGGGTGTGAGCACAGGCAGGGTTTCTGTGTGTCCCTATTACTTTCAGCACTCACTGCCTTTATCACAGTGTGGCTGCCACCCAGTTTGGGGACCCTGCCTGTCAGCATCTTTGATGTTGTAGATGAAGCCAGCTACAGTGATGGTGAGAAAGCTGGGGGTTTCTTGTGGGCTGGCAAACGTTTGCTCATGTTTAGGAAGAAGACTATTGTTCCCCCAGTGTAACTGGACAAATAAGGGATTTAAAAAATAACTCTATTAAAATGTTAGCAGTAGCAACCTAGAAGAAATGAGAGCCCCTTTAGGAGGGAATGGTGTCTGCAAGGGTTTCAAAGTCTCCTGATTTGAGACTCAGCTTGCTCCCCTTTTCTTGCTGTCACATCCTTCAAGTTCTCCGATCACAACACAGAAATCAGACAAGGCAGAGAAGGGATTCATTTCATTCCTGCATGAGGGAAGGGGGATGGGGAGGAGCAGTGAGGGGGTTTTTTGAGAGAAAAATCTTTTTCTATGCCTCTTTCATAGTCCACAGTGGCAAACAGGCAGAACTTCTTTACTGTGTCCTTCCCCTTTCTCCCCTTCCTTCCCTGCCCATCCTGATTCACATTTGGCACTCTACTCTGCACTGCTCCCATCCTGTGGGTCTGATGAACACCCATTAATCCTGGGTAGAATCTAAAAATAAGAATTGAGAGAAAAAAATCAGAACAGTGTGAATCAACCTGCAATCATCTTTCTGTTCTCCTAATGGGAAAAAAGAAAGAGGAAATCAGTGGAGACACTGTTTTATTTCTTCTCTTTCCAAGACAAAATTATTCTGGCATTTGCAGCAGTTGTTCTCTTGCTATAGGTTTTCTAATTTACACACTTAAAAGGCACTTCAAAATTTAGGTGCATTAGCTCCAAATGCTTATGCAGACCATCCACCCCCACTTCTCTCTGCTCATGAATAGAGCTGCCACAAGCAGCCTGATGAAGGAGGAATGGAGCTCGAAATCACACCATTGAATTTACATGGTGTTCTCTCAGAACCAGGGATAGATCTGTCCTTTATGGGGGTTAACTCTAAAGTACGCAGTGTGTTTACTGTATGTAGCTGCTGCCATTACTTCTTAATTTCAAAGATTCTTTTAACACATTTTAAGCATTAAAAAAATCCTGTGTGCAGTTTTGAGTCTGACTTGCTGTTCAGTTCATGAGAGTAAAACCTGCAGGCCTTCCCTCTGAAGTTAGTTACACATAAGACTTTTTCTTTCATATTACAGGTGAAATTTGGAGGCTAATGGGAAAAGAAAAAAAAAAAACACAGAAGAACCCTCCCTCAGAACTACTGCATTTTTCTAGGGCATCTTTTTTTTCAAAATAATAAAAGCCCTGAGACAGTACAAGGCATAACTCAGTTACTGTAACTTTAAGAGATTGCAGCATGAGCCTTTAATTGCTTCTTGTGTTTTGTTCTGGTTTTGCTGAAAGGGATGTATCACAGGGAGTGGAAGAGAATTCACTGGTTTTTGAAAAATATGAGGCCCTGACATTCACACGACTTGGCTGGCAAAGAAGCTGAACAAAACCGAAAGGGTGGAGATTTGTCCTTTCATGGGCAGTTTGGAGGGTTTATCTTCTCTTCTTGGGGAGCTTTTGATTAGGGCTGCTCGAACAGCACTGTGGTAATGCAGCTTCCTGTGGCCTTGCCAGGTGACATCCCCACCAGACAGCTGCCAGCCAGCCCCCCACCACCACTGACCCTCAAAGAACACATGGACGTGGTTATTGGTCCTCCTGCCCAGCTGGAACACTGACTTCCTTTTTCCTCTCTAACTTGTAATAAATAGATCATATAGCTAGATGGATAATAAACAGATTGTCTGGGTTGTAGTAAATCTCTTGCCAGAGGGGGACCAAGACATTCATCGCTCTTCCTTCCTGGCCCTGGGTAACCACTCGCCCTGTCCCATGGACAGCTGT